AAGTAAAGGAATGCTGGCTCAATGAATATGGAAACACTCTGGAAATTTAGTGATGTTCCCTAGTATCTATTGTTTCAAGTTGCATATTTTTTTCCTATTCCTCACAAGAAAATGAAAGCCTAATGCAGCAACATTATAATTATTGGAAACATAAAATAAGTCCCTTTCCTTTGTCTGGCACCAAAAAATTTAAATAAACAATCTCTGATAAATCCATCTCAAATACTAATGAACAAATAGATCCTCCAGAGAAAAGGTATGAGCAAAGAGAAAAATTAGAAATTTTAAAATTATTTCAAAAGAAGGTCTATTTTGATCAATTGGAAAAGTTCCTCTTCAAAAATCATGGAATCTTTATTTTATAGTCTCGATTAGTTTTAAAAATCATATCTATGAAAAGAAAACATATAGATTAGAAAAATTTCCAGGTGAAACAATTATTGAATTAAAAAAGATAGTGGAAGAATAATTATAAGGTGCATTTCACATGCATGACTTGGGTTGATTCAAAGTGCAAAGTTAGCAAAGAAAGAATTGGGGAGATCATGGCATATTTCCTATCTGTCCATCAGTCATTATTCAAGGATTTAAATTTCATAAATGGAATTCTTAGCTTAGTGAAGGCAATTAAATTCAAATGGATGAACAGAAGATTAGAGATTTCACATACACCATTCCTGTCTTCTTTAATCCTAGTCTTCTGCAGGCACTAGAGGCTTTAAACTCAGACTCATTCATAATCAAGGGCCGTATCACTACTCTTTCTGGAATGTGGAATTAATCTCGCTGCCTTATGCCTGATATTTGCTATGCTAGAGCTAGGTAGTTAATTCACCTTAAGAGTACTAAAATAATTTGCATTTCCTATGACCGTGAGATTAATACACACAATGAGGTCAAGGAGTTATAATATATTCAGAGGTTCTTTTAAAATGCAATACTCTGCAGTATTTTTAACTAATTAATTCAAAAACTGGACTTCAGAAAGCACTTCTTGAGTGCTTATAATGGACTTATTACCATTCTAAGTGGTAAGATACTGTAGTAAGACTAAATCACTACCATCTAGAATTAAAAATAAGTGGGAATAACAGACAATAAACAAGTAAGCATGTAATATGTGTAATATACCAGGTAATGATACATGAAGAAAAAGTAATAGGGACAGGGTAGGGTGGATGAGTAGATAATTACTTTACATAGAGTGGTCAGAGAATCCTCCTCTAAGGAGGTAACAGCTGAGTAGAGACCTGAGTGATGTGAATGAATGAACTCTGAGAAGATCCAGGGGAAGAGATCCCATTAGAGAGAATAATTGCAGCACTACTAGTAACTGATTACACAATAACTGCTCCCCATATTACCTTGTTACTGACAGAACCTGAATTTTGCTTGTAACAGCAATGTATACAGTACACAGTGATAAATCATTATTGGCAATCCCATTCTCTTTGCCAAATAGTTTTCCCATTCTCCTTTGAAGCTACAGATAGTCATGTGACCTTAATCTATTCAATGAGACACAAAATCTACTGCGGGATTATTGGGTAAACTTCTGTTTCTTTGTAAAAATAAAGGGGAGCAAGTGCAAGAGAAGTACTTGATTCTTCTACGCCCACATTACTTCCCCTGCCTTGATCTATATGTGATGCCTAGAACTGAAGCAACATCTTGTGATTATGAAGAGACAAGTATGAGTGTAAAAGAGGTAAGACAAGAAAGGGCCAGGTTCCTGGGTCCTTGATGACACTGTTAAGCCAATGAGCCAATGCCCCAAATCCTTATCTCATGATTTCATTGGTCAGGGTCCAATGGCATTGCCAGTAAAATGTGGTTTCAAGGTCTATATCACAGGGTGTGGCTGTAAGAAATGTTAAGATTTCAAAAAGATTTAATGTAGTGTCTCACAGACCAACTCAGCTAGATAAAAATTATTCTAAGTATCTTAGGGTGACCTCTTAGATCTTCTCTGCTTGACAAAAGAGCTTCTAAGATTTTTAAGTATTGTGCTACAGAACTTTGACTATCAGTCAAAGGTAAACAGGGGCCTGTCTTGAAGATATTTAGAGGTGTAACATTTGGCTGAGATCATAATTTGATACACAGGAAGCCCGAAAAATCTTTAAGATAATCACAGCATCTTGGACTGAAAGAAAAAGAAACAATTTTAAGTGAAAGGAAGCTTTGAACTCTCAACTTTCTACAGAGAAAACATAGGCTGCACAGCTACTCAGCTACAAATATAAACTCTTTCTTATGGGAAAAAAAAAAAAAGGATTATTCAGATGGTAAAGCCAAGCATCAAAGACAAAGCTGGGAGCTTCAGAGTTACTAAGGCCCACTGACTGCTTTATGGTTCACTTTCCCCATCCTCCACCTTCACAATATTCCAGTTTTCCTGTTCCAGACTCACTCTTGTATGTAGGGGATGGATAACTGGTATCTTCAGTTCACAGGTGTTAAAATTGAGAGGAGGAATACTCAAAAAGCCTCATTCATCTAAATCTGATTTAGATGTTAAAATTCTGTACCTCAAGCCTAAACCTGATGCAGTTAATAGCATAAGACTCAGGATCTTGGAAGTGGAGTAAGTATATTTTGCATGTGGGAGGGACATGAATTACTTGGAGCTAGAGAAAGTTAATCTGTGGTGGTTAATCTCCAAATACAGCCCTCAATGAACACCACCTTCCAAGATTCATGCACTTATGTAATCTCCTAACAGAATGCAGCAGAAGTAACTCTATGCTACTCTAAAGCCTAAGTCTGAAGAATACCTGAAGCTTATGTTTTTGTTTATTGGAAATCCCAAGCTGCCACATAAGAAGTTCAGCTGCCCCACTAGAAAGATCATGTGAAGAGGTGGAATAGAGAGAGAGGGAAAATCCCTAAGATTAAAATTACATGGAGAGAGAGAGAGAGAGAGAGAGAGAGAGACAGAGACAGACAGACAGACAGACAGACAGACACAGAGACAGAGAAACAGCCACACTAAACCAGATATCCAAGCATCCCAAATGAGCTCAGATTTATAGCTGTTCCCATCAAGACGTAAGACGTATAAGTGAGCGAGCTATCATGAGTGTTCCAGCCCAACTGAGTTCCTAGATAACTATAGGATGAGCCAATATCCAGTAGAGCAAAAGAACTGCCCAGCTAGGTGCAGTCAACCCACAGAATCTTGAGAGATAATAATACGATTATTTCAAGCCACTAAGTTTTGGAGTGGTTTGTTATGCAGCAACAAATAATTCACTTATCAAATTAAACTAAATATTTTGGAAGTCAGACTTAATAAGGAAATTAAAAGGCAAACTACAAACTATGAAAAAATATGTGACATAAATATACAAGTAGTTAATATCCTCATAATAAAAAGAGCTCATTATAAAACCTAAACATCACCAAGTACTCAACAGAAAAAAATGGACAAAGGACATGATCTATCTACTCATAGGGAAAATCAAAATGGCTAATAGCATGAAAAAGTTTTAGTCATTATTTAAAAGACCATTAATACTCAAATATCACTATTGAGAATGTAAAGTGGTATAATCTTTCTGGAAAGCAATCTGTCAACATGCCATTTCCATGAATATAAGAGGAAATAAACACAGATCCAAATAAATAGTTAAGTAAAAGGCTATTAATTTCAAACTTAATGTCTAACAATATTTAAGCTGTTAAAAAGAATTATTGAATATCCATATGTGAAGGTATTCTGTATCTTGCAAATTTTTAAGAAAATTCAAGTAACATGCTTATAATACGATGTCATTTTAAAAAGGCACAAAATTATATATATATATATATACACATGCATATATATACATATATACATATACACACAGTTTGATCCAAGTTTTAAAAAATAAATGGTATTATATGCATAACAAAGACTGAAAGGAAATAAAATTGTTAAATGTGGCAGTAGAATTATAACTACTTTTATTTTTTCTTTTATACTTCTATTTTCTAAATTTTCTATGACTATCACGTCCACATTTAGTTAAAAACAAGAATGTTATTCTTTTTAAGTTAGATTGGTTATTGATCTAGGTAACTATTCCTAATTATTCCTAATTACCTATTCCAACTAAATATATTTAATAAAATCATATCTTTTGGATATGATTATTTCTAATTACCTATTCCAACTAAATATATTTAATAAAATCATATCTGTTGGAATTTGGAAGGGAATTTAGAAATGACCTAGTATGATCTGCCATTCAAAAGATGAGGAAATAGGTTTAGAGATTAAGTTGCCTATTCGTGTTGACATATTTAGCAGCAGAGCCTTACTTAGAACTCATATTGTTTATCTACTGACCAGTACGCATTTTTACACTGCTTTATAAGATACCTATAATAGTAATTCAAATAAGATGTAAAGATCTAAACAAAATAACTGTTACTTTGAGAAAGACTTTACCCTAATGTACCTTTAAATTTACATTTAGATAATTCTTATTCTAAACTATAAAATTGCTTACAACAAGGAGAACATATGCTATTTATTATATAACAATTTTATTAAAAATTTCCACTGAAATAAATTTCCACTGAAATAACTTTGTTACTGTTGTTACACTTTCAGCTGAATTTTATACCAACTCATGAGACTAGTTTGTATTACCAGTATCTCTAATCACTTTGCTTTAACGGTTTTTCCCTCCTTACTTGATGAGTATGTTTAATATACTTAGATACACTTCCACTTGGAGACATTTGAATGTATTTTCAATTTATTTATATTTAATTTGTTTTTTAAATAAATTATGTTTTTCCTAGTTGTATACTTTAATATGAGGGCAGATACCTTAATTCAAGGTCTTCCTTTGGATCTTGGCTTTGAAAGCTACATTTTGATTTTGAATCTGGGGTCTTCCTTCTGACTAAGCTTAGACTGTTACTTTGTCACCTATTTTCTATTGGAGATAAATCTAGGTTCCTCCTTTTATTCCACCTGAATTTATAAGGATACTTTTCAACGTTACCTCTGATGAAGATGAGTTTTTCAAAATGCCTGTATATTTATCTTTTAATTTTACTCCTGGTTGAAAGAGTACATTTTTCATTTTTCTGTCCATCATGTCTTCTGATGAGTATTCCTCTAAAGGTAGTATTTTGTTTTCTTCTGTTATGGTCAGGCTAGGAATAATGTGTAATAGAGTATCTGTTTGTTTTGTTGATTCATCACTTTTAGGAGCAACATCAATTAAATTATCTTGATTTGACTGGTTCGAAGTTGGTAGGCTCAGGTCTTTCATATCATCATTATGCAGTAACTAGAAAATATATCAATAAAACAAACTACCAATTAATTATTACTGACTATGAAATATTTAAAACGAATAAAACTGGACTTAAAATCATTTGTACATCTTTATCCTTTATTATAACAAGTTACCATCAATATTTGTAAATTGTTACATTCCTTATTAAAAGAGTTGAGAAATTCTGCTTGCCTGAATATTGATTATATTGCTTTATAAATCAGTGGCTCTCATATATTCAGATTTTATAAATCAGCAATATCTCAAAGAGAAAATTGAGAGGTCTAACATTTTACTGTTATACTATCACCAATATATCCTAAAATAAAGGACAATTTAATAGCAAAATAGCATATCATAAAATCACAGCTATATCACAAAGGAAATTTAAATAGCAAAATAGTACAAAGAATGGATTCATATAACAAAGGACAGCCTGTTAAATTAAATAAATTTAGCTGTATAAAAAATTCTCTTTAGTGTCTTTTTTCTCTCTCCTTAACTAGGGAAAACAGTACATACTGACTCTTCAACTGGTATTTGAGAGCCACTGACCCAAGATGGAAATCATTAAATGTTATTTGTCATTGGTTTACATAGGGATACACTGCTTATGGGATACCTTTATAAAAATAGATAAAAAGCAAATAATATCATGTGAACTTTTTATTTATAAAATGTAAATTATTATTTTTAGAGGAAAAAGTAAAGAACGTGGTTAGGTCTGTGGCATCAATTTCTAAGATCATCGTGCGGAAGTTTATGCTTTTTTTTTTTTACTTATTTCTCTCTTCTTTTTGTCAACACCTTTTGTCCCTATTTTCACATGTATTTTTAAATATTACCATTTTGTACTGAAAATTTCCTTTGAAGAGTATAATTTTACATAAATAAATTGTGTAAATGTACAGATTGTGTCATAAAAAAATAACCATGATAACCCGAATAAGTTCTTGAGTACTTTTGTCTTTTCATCTACAAATATTTCTCCACTTACAAATATTTAATCCTTTTATAAAATAGTGACTATTAGAAGTTCTCTTCCAAGTTCCCTTACCTCACTTGGAATAGTTTTGGCTTCCTCCTTTATAAAAGAGACATCTGTTAAGAAATTAACAGAAATATGTTATTACATATAAAATGATAAACACATTATATGTATGTACACTAATAATATATTAGTATAGTTTTTCTCACCAAGAACAAAGAACGATTTAAATAAAAGTGGCTATTCAAACATAAACACTATTTAGGAAAAACAGACTGATCAGGGTTTTGGTCAAGATGACAGAGTAGGTAAATGCTGTACTTGCCTCCTCTCACAACCACATCAAAGTTACAACTATCACTGGGAGTAATTAGAAGTCCTACAACTGGGGGCACACAGAAGAGGCTACCTTGAGACTGGTAGGAGGGGTGGAGACATGAAATGGGCTGGTCCAATGCCCACATGTGGTAGTTGAGAATTAGGAGAACTATCTCAGCTGCAGAGGTCCCCCTAGAAGAGTGAGGGGTCTGAGCCCACACTGGGCTCCCCAGTTTAGGGTTCCAGTGCTGGGAAAAGTCCTCGCAACTTCTGGCTGTGAAAACCAGTGGAGATTGTGACTAAGATAGAGGGCTGAAGTAGTTGCAGATTTTCCTCTTAAGGGGCCTGTGGGGACTTACTTGCTGATGGACTTGCTTGCTCTGAGCTCCAGCACTGGGGCAGTAGCTTCAAAGGCACCAGGGTCATATGGGGAGGAAATGAGTTGTCTGGCTGCAGGGTGAAGGTTGGAGGGGCAGCTATCTCCCAGACAGAAGAGCTGGCAGAGGGCATTGTTCCTTTGTTGAGCCCTCACCCCAGCCAGTGTGCAGATGCAGGTGGCCGCCATATTTGAGTCTCAATCAACCTGGCTAATACTAGTCACCAAGCCCTGGTGATTCCCTGAGACCCTGCTCCTCCCAACTTGTGGGCCCATCTAAGCTGCTTCCAGTGGATTTTCCACACAAATAGCCTATCTCGGCTCATGCTGAGAACTTTCTAAAAATCTCTCGAAGTTTCAAAAACCTAAACAAGCAGCATCTGGCCTTGGCATGTGCCATACCTCTTGCTGAGCAGCCCCAAGCCTGGCACTAGCAGCAGCTGGCCTCAGTGGCTTGGCCTCTTGCGACATTACCAAGCCAAGCATGGGTGGTGGCCAGCTGTGGATTGCTAGATGCTCACGCCAGGTGGTGCTGGGCAGGGCACAGGCTGCAGCTGAACTTGGTATATGGCAGGGCTCCTCCCCGGATGCCCCAGCCTGCATACCTGGTGGCCAGCTTCGGTCTGAGCCAGAACACCACCCAGGGTCACATTTGAGGATGACACACCCAAAGGGCAGACTTGGAAGGCACCAGAGCCCTGCTAAAGTGAATCCTGTTCTGTAGGGTCAGCCCCTCCACAACAGCTCCTCCACTGGTCACGACCAGTCCTCATAACCAATCAGTCTGAGGGTCAATCCCTCCCTTTGACCAGCAAACAGCAAGCAGGGTTCAACTACAATAGGAGGGCACACACAACCCATACAAGGGACATTCCTGGATCACTTGACTCAAGTAACCAGGAGACACTGTGCCACTGGGATCAATAGCACACCTACTACATAAAGCCACTCTAAGATTGGGAGACATAGCAGCCCTACCTAACACGTAGAAACAAACACAAGTAGGCAGCCAAAATAAGAAGATAAACATGTCCCAAATGAAAGAACAGAACAAAGCTCCAGAAAAAGCACTCAACAAAATGAAGACAATCTATCAGATGCAGAGTTCAAAACATTTGTTATAAGGATGCTCGAAGAACTCAGTGAGAACTTTAACAAAGAGATAGAAAATATAAAAGTGGAGATAGAAAACAAAAAAGAATGAGTCAGAAATGAAGAATACAATAACTGAAATAAAGAGAAAACTTAGGAGGAATTAACAGTAGATGAGATGAAGCAGAGGATCGAATCAGCAATTTAGAAGATAAGGTAGCAGAAAACACCTAATCAGAACAGCGATAAGAAAAAAGAATCCAAAAAAATGAGGATAGTTTAAGGGGCCTCTGGGACAACATCAAGTATACCAACATTCACATCATAAGGATACCAGAAAGTGAAGAGAGAGCACAAGAAATTGAAAACCTATTTCAAGAAATAGTGACTGAAAACTTCCCTAACCTGGTGAAGGAAATAGACATATAAGCCCAAGAAGTGTAGAGTCCCAAACAAGATGAATCCAAAGAGGCCCACACCAAGACACATATAAGTAAAATGAAAAGGATTAAAGACACAGAGAACCTTAAAAGCAGCAAGAGAAAAGCAGTTATTTACCGACAAGGGAGCTTCCACAAAACTGTCAGCTGATTTCTCAACAGAAACTTTGCAGGCCAGAAGGGACTGGCACAAAATATTCAAAGTGATGAAAAGCAAGGACCTACAACCATGATTACTCCACCCAGCAAAGCTATTATTTAGAATCAAAGGATAGATAAAGACCTTTCCAGACAAGAAAAAGGTAAAGGAGTTCATCATCACCAAGACAGTATTACAGGAAATGTCAGAGGGACTGCTTTAAGAAGAAAAGAGGGACTTCTTTAAAAAGATAAAAAATGTGGATAATAAAATGGCAATAACTACATATCTAGCAACAAATACTTTAAATATAAATGGATTAAATGCCCCAATGAAAAGATAGGGTGGCTGAATGGATTAGAAAACAAGACCCTTACATAAGCTGCCTACAAGAGACTCGCTTCAGATTGAAAGAGACACAGACTGAAAGTAAAGGGATGAAAAAAGATGTTGCATGAAAATGGAAACAAACAAAAAAAGCTGGGGCAGCAATACTTAAACCAGAGAGAATAGACTTTAAACAAAGGCTATAACAATAGACAAAGAAGGACTCAGTTATCCCACTTCTGGGTATTTATCTGAAGAGACCCAAAACATTGCTTTGAAAGGACATGTGAATTCATATGTTCATTGCAGCATTATTTACAGTAGCAAAGATATGGCGGCATCCTGGGTGTCAATCAATGGATGAATGGATAAAAAAGAGGTGGTATGTATACACAATGGAATATTACTCAGCCATACAAAAGAGTGAAATCTTGCCATCTGCAACAACCTGTATGGGCCTAGAGAGTATTATGCTCAGTGGAGTAAGTCAAAGAAAGACAAATGTCATATGTGGAATCTAGAAAGCAGGTTAACAACAGATACACAGAGCATTTTGATGGTTGCCAGATTGGGGGTGGGCAAATGAGTGAAGGGGAAGGGATTAAGAGGTACAAAGTGGTAGTTACAAAATAGTCATGGAGACATAAAATTTAGCATGGAGAATATGGTCAGTAGTATTGTAATAACTATGTGTGGTGTCAGATGGGCACTGGATTTGTCGGGGTGATCACTTCATAAGTTACATAAATGTCTAATCACTGTGTTGTACATCTGAAAGTAATATATTGTATGTCAACTATAATTGAAAAAATAAAAATATGAAAATGAAAATAAACAGACTCATGAATCTCTGGGAAGATGGGGGAGTGGTAAATGCACAGATGCGGAGATAAAATGAAAATAATATAAAGTGATAAGATTTCAGATCCATTGATATAAGGCGTAAAAACAGGTATAGAGTATGTTTTGCTAAAAGTCAAGAGGACATTTAAAAATCCCAGTCAGTGATAGGGTTGGGATTAGAAAAAGAGACTAGAATAAAGATTATGTAACCAGCAAAAAAAGGACCATTCAAGACAGGCTGTTTGAAGCACTTGTAAAATTTCCCTAGAAAGATAAAGAATACATATTTAGCAAGTAGAAAAGGAAAACTTAAAAAAGAGAAAGAGGGAATAAAGAATTGAGATACGAAAAAATATATAAGTCCTGTAAAAAATTTATATATGGTCATTATTAGCTGTATGACTGGTCAGCTCCTTTTTCTGATCCTCAATTTTCTCATATGTAAAAGAGGATAATGATAGCTTATCTTATCACTACGGTACAAGTTACATAAGATGTGAGCAGCAATATGGTTAAATGCTCGAGCTCTTGGGCCAAACAGGTTCAAATTCAACTCCTATCATTTAATGGCTATGTGACCTCTGATTGATTTGATCCTCAGTTTCCTCATCTGTGAGGATTGGTTTATATAACCCAAGTAAAGTGCCTGGAACACTGGGATCAATAAATATTAATTATAACTATAGGAAGCTTTAGAAAAACCAAAAGGAAAGAAGGCACTAGATGATCCAATGGGACTTGAAATAAGCTCTTTGGATAAATGAAAAAAATAAATAAATTAAAAAAGGAAAAGATGGCCATCACCAGTGAGTGAGAGAGGTTAACCTCCTATCTTTAACAGTGATATTGAAGAGGGAAATGTGATTCCCCTACACCTAAAACTTGAATGTTTCAGGTAAAAGAGTAGACTAAAGATGCATTAGCTCTGCTAGGCTGCCTGATCCTCAGAGGTTAGGAAATGAATATAACGAAGCCTGTTTTAGCCAGGGAAGTAGAAGTAGAAAAGTAGAAAAGTATCCTGTGGTTAAAGTCTTATCACAATAAATCATTATTCCAATCTTCAGAATCCAAGATTTTAAAGATATAGTATTATGCATCAATTTGAACTTACTTTCTAAATGAATCTTTTAACAGATTTTTCAAAAGACTGCATGAACAGTTTTTCCATTAATTAAATATCTACTGATAATTTGTGGTAGATTCTTAAATGTAATGCTAATTTAATTTCCTGTCCCCTCCTCTCTCACCTCCCTGCAACACACACACACACACACACACACACACACACACACACACACACACACACACTCCTCTACTTAAAAGAGACCAATAGCTTTACACTTAATAATACTAAATAAAAATATCTATTCATAGATCATAGTTAAGATTTAACTTTTTTATCATCCTTAAATAAAGTAAAGGAACATTAAAAATAAAAATAACTCTGAATTAGGTCTAAGTCTTTTCTTCAGAGTATTATAAAATATATACTCAAACTATAATGAAATGCATATTTATTCTTTAACAAAAAATGAAACCCACTTAAAGCAAATTATTAATTTTCTATTTGAGATATAACCACCCTGTTTTTTAATTATCTTAATAATAAATATAAAAAGTGAATTCGTTTCTTAACCTGATGTTAAAATGTCTTCAGAACCCTCTTCAAATTTGCTTTCAAGTATCTCATTGGTATTACTTTCCTGGAAGCAAAAAAAGAAAAAAAGAAAATATACCAGAGAAATGTTTAAAGGCTAAAACATTTTTCTCCACCTTCATAACTTTTAATACTTTTTAAAAATTTATAGAAGACGAGAAGGAAATGAGTTTGTGAGAAAAGCAAACCAAAAAACTTTATTTTAAAGAGAGGCACACACTGGCTAGAAGTTGAAGTTCCAAGGAGAGGAAAGTCAAGAACTAATAGGGTATTTGAGTGACAAATGTATGAGAGAAAAAGATTACCAGATAAATGATATAATGTAACTTTAAGGAGTATGAGAAGATTCCCCCCAGGACACATAATTTTTTATTGAAATACATTATGCCCTATGAGTTGAAAAATCATGTTGATCTTTACAAAATTCCAAGAAGAATTATAAGGTAGAGTGATCACTGGTTCTTATAAAATACTGATCTTTCAATAAGAACCCAAAGTTCACAGTCTTTTTAATGAAAAACATCCCAAATTTCCCCTAAAATATCAATTCTGTATTAGTAAATGTTAACCAATTTATGCTACGGCAGCACAACTCTGCCCGATAATCGAAAAGGCATCGAAAATCATGAATATGTCAATATGTTTTAACTACCATTTCAAGGCTGTGATCTTAGTCAATGTTTTATCTATCTAACTGAAATGTCAGGTCAAAATGTATAGGTTAGATTGCATTTCTAAATATTAAACCTTATTCATTAATCTGATAAATGTCTAGCACCTAAAAATTATAGAGAACTCTTACAATTCAATAATAAAAATACAAATAGCCAAATTAAAAAATCAGCAAAGAATTTGAATAAACATTTATCCAAAGAAAGAAGATATACAAATAGCCTGTAGGCACATGAAAAGATGCTCATATCACTGGTCATTACAGAAATGCAAATCAAAACCACAATGAGATACCACTTCAAACCCACTAGGATGGCAATATTTTTTTTTTAAAGGAAAATAACAAGTGTTGGAGGAGATGTGGAACCCTCCTACATTACTGGTTGAATGTAAAATTGTGCAGCTGCTGAGGAAAATAGTTTGGCAGTTCCTGAAAAAGTCAAGTGGAATTACTATGTGATCCAGCAATTCAGCTCCTATGTATATACCCACCAAAACGAAAAACATGCTCACACAAAAACCTGCACATGAATGTTCAAATCATTATTCATAATACGTACAAAGTGAAAACAACCCAAATGTCTATCAACTGCGAATGGATAAATAAAATGCGTTATATCTATACAATGGAATATTATTTGGCAATAAAAAGAAATAAAGTATTCAAACATGCTACAACAAGAATGAACCTTGAAAACCCTATGCTATACCTGAATCTAATTTAAAAAAACATTATGCTAAGTGAAAGAAGCAAGTCACAAAGGACCATATATTGCATTTCATTTATATGAAATGTCTAGAATCTATAGCAACAGAAAGTAGATTCATTGTTGCCTAGGGCTAGGGGGGCATGGGATTTGGAGGGTATAGCTTATGGGGTATGGGGTTTCTTTTGAGGATAATGAGAATGTTCTAAAACTGATTGTAGCAGTGGGCACGCAACTCTGTGAGTATAGTAAGGGCCACGGCATTGAACACTTTAAATGGGTAAATTGTATGGTATATAAATTATATCTCAACAAAGCTGTTAAAAAACTATATCTTATAAATTATTAATCAATATTTATTGAATGCCACATTATCAAAATAATAAAATGCATGAACCATGAATAACATTTTATAATTGAGAACATGAACACTATCTGATCATCATTTTTAATTACCATAATCTTTTTTAAATAAAAAGTATTAAAAACTATGTATGGGAGAATGAATTATGTTAATTACCTTAGGTCGACTATGTTCCAATTTTGGGTTAAGAACTCCTTCTAAATATGTAGCTTTTTCTCTCCATGTACTCAGATCTCTATACTCTTTTTTCATTTTTTCTAGCCTAAAGAAAGAAATCATAGCATTATAGTTTAAAAAAGCAAGTGACAGAAGAATATATATGGTAGATTCAAAAAGAATTTATACAGTATGATCCATTTTTAAAAGTGCTAAAAGAAGCAAACCAACAATATACTGTTTAATGATACGGTAAAAGAAAAAAGAATGATTACAACAAAAAGCAAGGAAGTAGTTATCTGGGGAGAGTTGGGGAGAGGGATGTAATCTTATAAGGTTACACAAACACATTTCTGATATTGGGGATGCTGTATTTCTTAAACTGAATTATAAATACGTAGGCAATATTCTTATTTTTATTTAAGATATACACATGTGTTTTGGAAATTATTCAATATATATTGGTCTCAATATTGATGAAAGAGAAGAATAAGTTTCAAATTAAACAAGATAAAACTCCAGAAACAGAACTTAAAGAGAGATAAGTGATTTACCTGATAAAGAGTTCAAAATAACGGGTCATAATGATGCTCACAGAGGTCAGGAGGAAAATGCGTGAACGAAGTGAGACTTTTAATAGAGATGAAAATAGAAGAAAGTACCAGGCAGAATTATAGACCTGCACAATACAATAACTAAACTGAAAAATTCAGAGGGGTTCAAGAGCAGACTAGGTGATGCAGAAAAAAGATCAGTGAATGCAAAAATATGAAAGTGGATTTTATCCAATTGGAGCAAAAAAAAAATTAAAAAGTGAAAATAGCTTAAGGGACTTATGAGACACCAACAAGCTGACAAATATATGCATTACAGGCAAACTAGAAGAGAAAGGGGCAGAAAACTTATTCAAAGAAATAGTGGCTGAAAAGTTCCATGATATGTGGAAAGAAACAGATGCCTAGATCCAGGAAGTCCTAAAAAAGATTAATCCAAAAGACCCACACTGAGAAACATTATAATTAAACTGTCAAAAATGAAAAACAAGGAGAGAATTTTCATCTTAAAAGCAGCAAGAGAAAAACAACTTGTTACACAAAAGAAAGCCACCATAACATTATAAGCAGATTTTTCAGCAGAAACTTTGTAGGCTAGAAGGAAGTGATATGATATACTCAACTGCTGAAAGAAAAATAACTGCCAACCAAGAATACTCTACTCAGAAGTTGTCCTTCAGAATTGAAGGAAAGATAAAGAATTTTCCAAACAAACAAAAGCTGAAAGAGTTCATTACCACCAGACTGGCCTTACGAGAAATAGTGATGGGGGAGTAAAAATGTAAAGCTTTAGTATGCATTCAAAGTTAAGTCGTTATCAGCTTAAAATAGATTGTTATAAGATGTTTTAGATAAGCCTGTGGTAACCACAAAAAGAAAACAAAACAAAACAAAAAAACAACCCATAGTAGAGACACCGAATATAAAGAGAAAGGAATCTAAGCATATTACTATAGAAAATCATTAAACCACAAAGGAAGGGAGCAAAAGAAGAAACAAAGGAATGACACACAGCCAGAAAAAAAAAATTAACAAAATGGCAATAGTACGTCCAATAATTACTTTAAATGTAAATGTACTAAATTCTCCAATCAAAAGACATAGAGTGGCTGAATGGATTAAGAAAAACCAACACTCACCTACAGACTGCCTACAATGGACACACTTCAGCTCTAAGGACATACACAGACAGAAAGTAAAGCTATGGAAAAGATACTCTATGCAAATGGAAATTAAAAGAAAGAAGAGGTAACTATACTTATATCAGAAAAAATTTAGACTTTAAGCCAAAGACTTTAATAAGAGATAAAGAAGGTCATTATATAATTATAAAGAAGTCAATCCAACAAGAGGACATAACATTTATAAATACTTATGCACCCAATGTAGGAGCACCTAAGTATACAAAGCAAATATTAACAAATATAAAAGAAGAAATAAACAGCAATATAATATAAGAGTATTATACTTTGAACAATGGTTAGATTATCCAAACAGAAATTCAATAAGGAAACATTGGACCTAAAGTATATATTAGGTCAGATGGACTTAATAAGCATTTGCAGAACATTCCATCCAACACTAGCAGAATACACATTCTTCTCAAGTGCAGTGGAACATTCTCCAAGAAAGATCATATATTAGGCCACAAAACAAACCTTAATAAATTTAAGAAGATTTAAATCATACTAAGCATCTTTTCTGACCAAAATTTATAAAACCAGAAATCAATTCCCAGAGGAAACTAGAAATTTCACAAATATGTAAAGGTTAAACAACATGCTACTGAATAACCAGTGGGTCAAAGAAGAACTCAAAAGAAAAGTCAAAAATCATCTTTAGAGAAATGAAAATGGAAATAAAACCTACCAAAACTTGTAGGACATAGCAAAAGCACTTCTAAAAAGGAAGTTTATAGTGATAAATGATTACAATTAGAAAAAGATCTCATATAAACAACCTAATTTTGTACCATAAGGAACTAGAAAAAAGAATAAACTGAGCCCAAAGTTAGTAAAAAGAAGGAAATATTAAAGACCAGAGGGGAAGTAAATTAAATACAGACCCCCCAAAAAATCAATGAAACTAAGAGCTGGTCTTTCGAAAAACTAAAAACAGAAAACAAAATTAATAAACTTTAGCTAGACTTACCAGGAAAAAGAGAGGGCTCAAATAAATATTTTTTTAAATCACCATATCTGGTACCCTAGGTAGCTAATAAATGTTATTGAACGAGTAGTACATCAGTCTAGAGGATAAAAGGGTTCCTTGGTTATTCAGTTCAATGTTTATAAATTCATTTATGAATCTGAGTAAAACTTATGTACACATAAATTATTTTCTAAATGTTTGGGAGCTCTCTTTCTGGCAATGATGGAATTAGGTTGATGGAACAGGTTATTTCAGACAAACCATCATAATGCACAACTTAAAAAGCTGGACAAAATATTTTTTTAAATTTTTGTTTGAAAGTAGCAGTCAGTTATAAAGGCAGCAAGAATTTGCAGATCTAAAATTCTAGACAGAAAGGAAGTCCAGAGACTTTAAGCCCATAATTTGGTATCATTTCTCCTTTAAGGCATTTTTAGTGGCCAAGAGTTAAGAAGCCAAGCAGAGCTTTAAGATAGATATACAAGGACTGAGGAACAAAAACCAGAATTCAGACTCTGCCAAGGATGAGAAGCCATGATAAACACCTAAGGTTTCAGGTGGGATCCTAAAAGGCTATACCCTAAGCCTAAGTGCCTTCTTCAGAATTGTGCCCTAGCTGCCTTATACTCACCTCAGTCCTGATGCTAGGAATGAGTAAACCAGAAAAAGACTAATCCTTACAGGAACTAAAGCCCCCAAATTCATTTCAATCTTGATCTCAATTGAATTAAAGTGATCTAGGATTGTTAGTGACCCTGGTCTAGCTGGCTGCCAGATGCAAATGTATATCTTCTCTGTAAGTATATACACTCAAGAGTATCTAATTAGTTCTATAGATTTTCAAATACAATGTTTGGCACTCAATAAAAACAACTAGGCATATGACAATAAAATATTTGACTGAAAACTATGAGAATAAAACAATAGAAATAGACTTATCAGGAGGTTCAGATAATGGAATTATCAGAGATGAACTTTAAAATACAAATGATTAATATGCTCAAAGAATTAAGAGATAAGACTGAGGATTTTGGTACAGAAGTAGAAACTATCAAATAAAGAATAATTCAATAACAGAAGAAAATAACTAAAATTAAGAATTTAATTGGTTTAACAGCAGATTAGAAACAAAGAAAAACCAGTGAACTATAAATAGATTTTTTAAAATCTAGACTAAAACATAGAGGGGGAAAAAAGTGATACACAGAGAAGAGGAGACTAATAGACTATATCGTTGAGTCAAGAGGCAGAGCAAGTACTATACTTCCTCCTGTGAAAGAATTTTAATCTAAGTTGGAACTGGAGGACATAAAATGTAAAATCTCATGCATGTGCTCTCAGAAAAACAAAACTTAAGGACTGAAAAACTGATTTCACATAAATCCCAGATTTACAGAAAACTGATAATATTGGAACTTTCTTGAACGATAGGGAATTGGTCAGGGGTTGCCTCATATCAACCTTGGGAAGTTTGTTTACGGTTTCTAGATAATGAAGAAGAAATGACCCAAGTCAAGTTGGTCCTGCAAAGTAAGCTGAATTGAACTTTTTTTGTATGACTGGATGACTGTTTTTATCAGCTCAGGGAATTTTCAAAACTAGTCTCCGTCTGTTTTTTTATTTTAACAGACTCTAACTGAACTTTCCCCTCTTTACATTCCTTGCCCATAAATACAGCCTACCCCAAACCCTCAATGGACTCATTTGTAGTTTGCTAGTTTTCATGTTCTGAATTGTAATTCCTCTATATTTCTGAATAAACTCATCTTTTTTGACAATTTTGAGATTGCCTCAGTTTACCTCTTTATTTAGGTTAATGCTACTTTATAAAAGAGTTCTCACCTCTCTTCTTGTCACAGCACTGACTTTTTAAAACAAACACCTGCATATAATAAGCAAAATTCAGGAATAGCCTCTGAACCCATGAAATAAAGGTTTCTGAACTAATAGCAAGCCCATGTCTCAAAGAAAAATATTAATATACAAATAACACATAAATAAAATTTAAAATTTATTTTGTTTGTTTTTTTTTACCTTTCCCGAGGTTGTTGTTGAAGCTTTTCGAGCCGCACTACAGAAGGCTGGTTGGGTTGGGTAACATTCAGGTCTGGGGATAAGAATGCTGGATATTCTATTGGCTGTGGTATAATAACATTTCTGCAAAATTGTAATAAAGTTAAATATGAAATTATACAAAAGTACACTCTAAAACCGGTGGTAGCTACCACTTTGGAATCATTCTGTTTTTTTTACACTGTAAGCTCATCTATCTGCCTTGAACCATCAGAGGACAGAGCTAGGAAAGAAGACAAAAGTCAACAATCCTGAGAGAAATACTCTCCTGAGTACTCTTCCTACTAAGGTCATGAGCAGCAGGGATGGAAATGGAAAGGACCTGCAGTTCTAAAGAGAAGTGTTTGAGCCCAGATGTCTCTCCTAGTTTCTAGATCCAAATCTCGATCTCATGGCCCAGTGAAAGTGACACATAAAATTAACTATCACAGGTCCACCCCATGTCAACCTGGCACTCATAAACACCTTAAAACATATTTAATCTCCAAATGGAAACAATAACAAGCTCATAATTCCACCTAACATGATACAACTATCCTGCAAATAACCAAAAACTCACTAGCCCCTCTCCAGAAGAGGTAAAGTCCTTGGGTGATGTTTACTCTTCTCCTGGATATCCTAAAACTTAAAAACTATGAGGTAAAGTTAACAATACTTAAATATTATGATATAAAGACAATATATCTTATGTTACATAAAGAGATAAGAGGGAAGACAATATATTCGCTACGTATATGTATATATAAAATATACATGGTAATTGGGCCAAAGTAGCCCACCCAAATGAGAAATATGTCGCCTCCAAAATCCAAAGAGACACACCAGTGTTGTGCCTCTTTTTTGGTTTAGGAGGGGCCAGATACAACTTATCCTTCACCTTAGCAGGACTACCTTGACAAGCCCATACCACTAGATCCTTAAAATTTCACTGAGGTAGAAGGCCCCTGAATTTTGTCAGACTTATTTCCCACCCTCTAACATGTAAATGTCTTACCAATAAGTGTAGAATAGTAGCTACTTCATGCTCACTTGGTCCAATTAACATAATGTGATCACTATAATGAACCAGTGTGACAATGAAGATTCTTGTAGAACTAAAGTATGACATAGGGCTGGTATATTGCTGGCCTTGCCAGCAGAAATCAAACTGCTTCTTTATTAATAAATATGGAGGAAAAAAGCACTTGCCAGATTAACAGTTGTAGACCAGGTACCAGGGCATGTGTTAATTTGTTCAAGCAATAAAACCACATCTGGTACAGCAGCTGCAATTGGAGTTACCATCTGGTTAACTTACAATAATCTACTATCATTCCCTAAGATCCATCTGTTTTCTGCACAGGCAAATAAGTGAGTTGAATGGGGATGTGATGTGAATCACCACCCCTGCATCTTTCAAGTCCTTGATGATGGCGTTAATCTCTGTAATCCTTCCAGGAAGGTGGCATTGTTCTTGCTTTACTATTTTCCGTAGTAGAGGTAGTTCTATTAGTTTCCATTTGTTCTTTCCCACCATAATATCCCTCATTCCACGGGTCAGGGAACCAATGTAGGGATTCACTAACTGCTGAATATATCTATTCCAATTATGGATTCTGGAATTGGGGAATTAACCATAGGATGGATTTGGGGACCTACAGGACCTGGTGTGAGAAGGATCAGAGTTAAAACTCCATTGATTACCTGTCCTCCATAAACCCCTACTCTTGACTGGTAGACAACAAAGATATGTTGGGTCTTCTGGAATTAGCATCAGTTCAGAGCCAGCGTCCAGTAGTCCCTAATGCACAGTTACCCTGGTAAAAAGCTGTAGTTCCCTTTGGGGAAAAGCTGGGAGAAAAACCAACATTATAAATTTTTAGCAGTGTATGAGGGTCTCTCCTCAAGGGGACCGGGCCTCTCCTTCACTCAAGCTATAAGCTGGCTCAAGCTGGGAATTGATTGAGGAGCTGTGACTGTTTTTGATTCAGGTTTGACTTTTGTTCACTTGACTTAGAACTTTTCTGCTTATACAGATAAAGTAAGAATTTAGTAGGCTTCCTATATATATCATTTCTAGGAACATCATGATCAACTAAGCCGATGTCATAGGTCTGTATGAGTCAGACTATTCTGATTGCTGCTTTGACTCTACTGTCCATTACAGTAACCACTCCCACCTTGCCTTTGGCAGTTGAGTGCCATCACTTGGCCCCTGCTACTTTGGAATTCAATTACTCGCAATTCATTTAGGTTTTCCAGTTCAGTGACTGTAGTTCCCACTGTAAGGTCTGGGATGAGCAATCATAGAGCTCTTTAAGGATGGGCCTCCCCTTACAAATTTCTTTCTCACAGTCATGGTGAAAGGTATATTTGCTGGAGCCTCCCAGGGTGAGTGAGTAGGTCTTAAACAACAAATCCACTCTAATCTTTCTAAACCTTTGAATCCCTTCCTCTACATCAAACCAAGACAGGTCTGGCATTTCCAATTTGCTCGGGGGCATCTTTTGGTCCATGTCCAACCAACCAACCAAACTGTCAAAGTCCTTTCTAACTCCCCAAGCTGCAGCATTAAATGAAGAATCTCTACTTAGTGAGCCTATATCAATAAATTTTTTATGATCCAACTTTCAGTTCCTTCCACCATTATCACACACCCTTAATATCAATTTCCACACATGTTCCCTGGATTTCTGTCTGTATAAATTAGAAAACTCAAGTAGTTCTTCTTGGAGTGTAGCTCACCTCCTCATGGGTCACACTTTGTACCTTACCTTTAGGGGCCTTCTGGGACTTTAGTCTAATTATAGGCCTAGAAGCAAAGAGAGATGGTAGGGGTAGGTCCTGAGGAGAACCAAGATGTGTGGCAACTGTCTCAGAGGAGGCTATTAGTGTTTCCTGAAGCAGTGTAGGGTGGAAAGGCCACTACGCCTGGGAATGGTGATGTCACTTTTGCTGGGGGAGGTGAGGTCTCTTCTAGTGGAGGTTGAGAGGTCACTTCCACTGGCAAAGAAGATACATCAGAATTTAGGGGCTCACCGTCTCCAGCTTCGTTAGGGTCTTCCTCCATGTTCCCATTCCAACTTTAAGTATCCCATTTATTCCCAATTAAGGCCCTCACTTTAACAGTAGACACTGGGAGTTCAGCTTGTGCTATAAGTCAGCCAGTCACAAGAAGAAATTCTGGGTTTGATTTTTAGCAATCTTAGTTCTATGGCTACAAGATAAGGGTCCTTCAGGGCACACATAAAAGATTTCAGGTCATATATGCAATGCTTGAGCTGAGAATCTGAATCCTTGAACTCATCCTTTTCTTTTTCAACTTTGTCCAACAACATTAAGAGTACCCAGCCAATATCATTATATTCCCTAGTTTGACAGAAATGTTAAAAAGTATCATATACACAGTCACCCAGATCTTTGCTTCTTATAAATGGTTGATTAGGAGCACCTAGGGATGATACTTTGCATATCTCTACTGCCAGATTATGCCATAGATTATCAGTGCTCTTTTTACTACTGGAAATGGAGTCATTAGAGTCTTTAAACCTAATCAGATTAAAGAGTTAATTCCATAAACAACAGAACCAATTCGGGTAACTCATCCTTAACAGTCTGTTCCTCTAGAGCCACTCTTAGTATCAAAATATGTATTAGAGTTGACTAGAGAAACATCCAATACATGTTTATTGAGTCAATAAATAAGTGGATAAGGAAATAATGATCAATAAATATAAGAAAAACATTCCACTTTACTATTTCAACAAACATCAATATCAAATGAACAAAATTTATTTTTAATGATAATACCTAGTGTTTGGTGAGACTATATAAGAGAGTAAACACTTGGGAATATAATTTCCCATCCTATAACTAATTCTCTCAATTCCATTTCGGAAATTTTCCATTTCTTATTTTTAGCACTATAGATTACATCTCTCCCTCAGGTACTCAATTTTCCTTGATGTATTTTTACTGTTAAAATTTCAAGACTGGTTGACATACTATATCTTAAGTTACTTTTGGTGTGCTAATGATATTTTTGACCATAGACAGACCTTTTTACTGAAGATTTGGAAGTAACAAACGAAGTGTGTGGAAGTGGGGGCAGCACTACTGTACTGCAGAGCAGAAAACGGAAAACTATTAAATGCCTTGATTTTAAAAGTCCCTCACCTTCTTCCTACAAGAGGAATATCTCACTGGCTGACTTTCCTCATCGGGCTGTTCCTCCCTTCCCTCTTTCAGCCATGAAATTGGTATCCCCTCTCTTCTTTTCCTCATTCCCTCACCTCTTCTCTCTCCAGGGCTATTCCCAGAAACTCAAAATTTCTCTCTCCTTTTTAAGCAAAACCCTTCACTGTTCTCTTTACCCTTGAGTCTGATCCATTCTGGCCATGTCTTCACACAACCAAAATGCTCCATCAAATGGATTAAATGTTTTAAATCCACATGATCTGACTGTGTTAATAAGATTTCAAACACTTACGTCTCAGGGTCTGTTCTTTCTGGAGGTGGTGCAATATTCATAAACATGGATGGCTCAATAATTTTCTGAAGAGGTTTTAACTGAAGGAAATGATAAGCATATTTTAATACTGTTTAGTTACATATGCTCCAGGACTACTAAATGGGCCTTAAATGATATATATAAGGAGAAAAGGAATTAAGAGAGGAAGAACTAATATTTATTCAGTACTTACTATCTACCAAGAATTTTATATTTTTGATATTATTTAATCCTCTCAATAATCCCATGAGGTAGATAACTGCTTATTTTACAGATAATACTGAAAATCAGTAATTTGTTCAAGATGACCCAATAGGCATGAAAGCCAGGATTTGAATGCAGCTTTGTCTGTCCCCAATGCAGTACTCTTTTCACATCATCATGACAGGTAAGTAGGGGACTATATTACTGAAAAGTCCATAGACATAAATTCAAGTTGAATTTTTACTTCCCACTCTTTTCCATAAAATACCTTTGTGCTTTGTTTATAGCAGAATCCACTTACATACAACAATACTTGCTCAGTTTTATTTGAGAAGGATATAGCTCCCTGAGGATAGGATTCTTACATGTTATACCTACATTCAGATATAAAACCCACCTCTGAAGTTAGTGCTCATAAACTGTGACTGTCACAAAAAAGACTAAACCATTAGGGGCCCCTATAAGACCTAATTCATGATAAAAAAAATAATAATAATAAAGATAATATGCAGAAAGAAAAGAAAGATTAAAGCAGAGAAAGAAAAAAGCTTATTATGCCTAGTGGCTTTCATCTCTATATTACTTACTTCTGACTTGAAATGCATTAAAAATTTGTTATGCTATACCATAGACAAAATTTTTAAATAGATTTTACACAGATTTCTCAGTTAACAAAGTGGTAAACTTTTTAACAAGACTGTATCCACTCTCAGTTTGGTAATTAAAGAAACAACTAAGACTATAAAAATAGAAAAAAATAAAAATGAAAGATTATATGAAAAATATCAGGGTCATTTCCCCCATATAACAGCAGCATTAATGAGACTGGATTCATAAATGCCCCAAAGCCGTGATAATGCCCAGAGATATCAAGAATTCTTTAAACTCTTGATGAGAATATATGTTGGTACAACTTTTCTACAACAATTACTTCCAATAATTTCCATTCTAGGAATCTAACCTAAGTCCATAATGAAAGAAAAACTTTCACTGCAACATAGATATATGTAGTGAACTTAAAAGGGCAGGCCAAAGCTAGGAAGATACTGGGCATAGCGCTTTCTTGATGAACCAAAGAGGCTACAAATAATACCAGATATTGAAACAACTGTGGAAGAAAGGACCATATTTGGTCAGAGTACAAAATGTTATCCAAATAACATCAATGACTCTATTTTTAATAAGTATTTTTAGATATAAAAATCCACACTCACTTTTTGAATACTTAAAATAATTTTGTTTTCAATTATATAAGATTGTGTATACACACACACACACACACACACACACAAAAGCAATTTTTATAATAAGGACATTTTCAATAAAAGGTCATTATTTTAAAATGCATAAGCAAATAATAATAATATAAAGTTTCAGTTTTCTTTAGGCAAAACAGCATTCTTTTAAATATATTTATTTTAAAGAATTTATCAAACTGGAAAGGATAGAGGCTCAGAAGAGAGCAATCTGACTAAAAAGCTGCAGTACAATAATTTTTAAAAGGTGAACCAACCTGATGTGAATATCCATAACCAAAGTTTCCATAGGAGAACATAAATTCTACCTCCATCCTGCAGATAAACTGAACATTGGGCAAATTTATGTTATTGTTTGATCAGAAAGATATTTTAATGGAGAAATGATAATAAGTGATATTTTTATTTCACAAATCTTTAAGTTAGAAAAACAAAGCATGAATCTCCTGATTGAAAAAACAAACATTTATACAAGAAACTCCTATAGAAGAATCTATAGAGTTCCTGAAATGTTAACAACTTTTATGTGAAAGTTAAGGAATATTATATGACTAAAATATAGAGAATATCAATTTACAATTGTTAATAGGATTATGCTGAGATACACATATATGCATATATATTCATATACATGTATATATTTTTTGAAGTATTTAGTCACACTTCTCCCATCTCCACTTCCATTTTCAGAGACTATTTTGATTCAGACAAGTGATTTCATGTCTCTGATCCCACCTTGCTTGTAAGTTAAACGAAGGAGGGTGTCAGAGGTTATAACCACAAATGTCTACCATTCTGTTTTTTACGTCCCTTGTCCCTGTTTTGGCTATTGGCGGCAGAAGCCTCTCTGAATAGATCGATTAATCAAGACAATAATTTTTAAGTACTTAAAAAGAAATTCAAGTAGAAACTCCTCAAAAAGAAAAATATTTCCTCAATGGGTAAGGGAGGATCCTGAGGCTGTGCAGTCAATGAAGGGACTAGAGGCATTTTACTCTCTTACCAATAATTTCAAATTTTCTTGTTCACCATTTAGCAGTAAGAGCAGCATTTTTTTAAAAAGGTGGAGATGAAGATTTTGTGAGCAAATATTGTACTTTTTATTTAATACATTTCCATTAATTTAAACAGTGACTAGCAGATAACAAAAGAATAAAAACAGTATCAGAGGCTACAAACAATATCAGAGTAAAGTTGTATAAAATGTTAAGTATGTGCACTAAACTTTGAGAATTTCAATAAAGTTCTTACTGTGTTTTTATTCAACATTTGAAATTCTTCAGTAAAGCACCTTTTCTAGAAAAAAGTAATAAATAATAAAGTTCTAAAATATAAACTCACTCATTAGTCACCGTTATATAATCTAAACCATTTCATAAATTTTTAAAAATCGGGTAATGATTTTTAATGCACATATTTATTATTTAATAGCTAAGGTACAAGTATGACATTTGGAAGAACATTAAAAATTTGTTGTACCAAAAATGGATGTTAATATTTACATTTCTTTTAGACAAAAAATATTCCTGCTAGTTACAGTTCCCCTTTTTGAAAGTCTTAAAAGAACTCCCATGCTTAAACTCCTTTTGAAGGGTTAAACATAAATCTACATGATAAGCTGACTTCTGACAGAACTTGAGTGTTTCTCTCATCTCTCAGGGACTGCTGGGATTTTTTAACCAGGTAAACCTTTGGTATCCTTGGTCACCATCTCTGGTCATTTCTGCTGAGCTGTCAGTCCTCCTGCCTAATCCAACATCCCACAGTTCCTTTTCTTCCTAGCATTTTCCACTGTGGCTCATGGGATTCCCATTCCATGATTAACAACCTTACATCTTTAACTGCTCCACTAAACATTCCAATCCTTTGCTTTACCTGAGACCTGGCTTACCACTAAAGATGCTGCTTCCCTTACAGACTCACGTGAAGGCCCATATATCTCAAGGTCAGGAGGGGAAGTAACATCCTCCACACTCCCTTCTATTGCCTTCATGTAGCTATAAACAGTTTTCTTCTTTTAAGTCTTATGCTATCTGGCATGTCTTTCAGACATTCTGGTCACTAATTCTCATTTAGTGAAGTCTGATACCTGGTTCACACATCCTTTGCACTCCAAAAACATAATTATCCACAAGAATCTATTTAACAGCTGGCCTCTCAGTTCCTAGTAATGACGGAAATAACAGGTGGGTACAATGGCAGACATCGCACAGAATTAGCATCTCATAAACAGTAAGTTCTCACTCAATATAGTTGATAGCGCCTGTGACTTCAAGTGAAATGACGTACAATGGTACCACCAATACCAAAGACCAATCGATATAAACCAAAGCTAAGTTACTATGGCATCTCATCAATGTCATATCAAAATGACATTATTCAAGGACCCACTGTAAGTTCTTCATATAAAATCGCAAGATTTCTCAGAAAATTTATAAATAACTAAAATTGAAAAATCACAGGATTTCTCAGAAAATTTATAAATAACTAAAATTGATTTCCTTAATGACCCTGTCAACCTGCTCTTTATAACTTCTAGTTCTTGATAGCGTCCCTTTCCCAAAGTGGGGAGTAGCGAAACATCACACTATTCGAAGACTGCCTTTTGCTTCTTCTTTTCTTTTATAAACTGTGTCTCTGCTTTTGATCAAAGATCTCAACTTACTGATTCATCTCCCTCGTATAAAAGTAAACTTTTAGTCATACTTTTAACTCTTGTAAATAAATGCCTTTGAGGTATTTCTGGAGGTCCCACTCAGATCTGCCCAACTGAGTCTTCGCCGGAGCCAATTAATATATTCATCCAGAATGTGCATCTCATCCCAATCCACTGAATTTTAGGACTTGCCTTTGCTCAGCTCCTCTGGTGAGTTTCAATGTATGGCAATGACCTATTTAGCTTCCTGTCCTGAATTTGGATCTCCTCAGCCCAAAGTAAGTTACATGGCTAAGCCTAGTTGGGGAAATTACATAATGGGAAATTATAGACTACTCAAAGGTATGGATACAGAAAAGTATGGTTCTGTAGGGGGCATTACTATAACAATCTTCTACACCTTTGAATCCTCTATTTCCTTTCTCAAATAATTACAGTGGCTACCAATATGTCTAACTGTTGAATTTATCATCTAGTCCTAGGTTCATCTAGTAAGGATCATATTGCCAAACCAACAAATGCAAATACTACTACAATTCATCCCAAAATTAATAATCACATTCCTTTTTATAATCAATACAGGAATATTATAAACTCCAATACACTTATATGCCTTAATTGACTCTAAGCCTTAACAATTAGCTGATGTTTCTGGTTTCTCCCAGAACCTCAAAGGAACCAAAGATGTATCAGGGACAGGAAGGAATCGGGGATTAATGATTCAAGCTACCAACTAGTTATTTTTTTATAAAGCTATGTAAAACCTATTATGTGATTTGTTTAATCAGAACAATTACATTCAGAAAGCAATTGATACTAATTGGTAATTATAAACAATACATTTGTGTCCTCTCCATGTATATTGGCAGTATAATTGTGTAATCAAATGGCCCTCCCATGCTTCCAGACATGAGCTATAGTTTGGGTCTGATCATTATGTCTTTACGCCTCATCCAAGCACCAGATTTTACCAGTCTGCATGAAGATTTCTACCCTGGTTAGTAGTTCTAGAACTAAAACAAATGGTCTATAATCTATCCCTGCATGTGACCTAAATAGCAAATGAAACAGCTCAAGCTTTAGCGAACATACAGATCTGCATAAATTTGTCGACTGGAATCATTTTAGTTAATAAAATTGTTCTTGACCTTTTACTATATAGTTGTGGTGCATCTGTGCAGTAGCCTATGCATTTTATTGTACATGATAAACATTTCAGGAAAAGTGGAATAATCAGTAAATCAAAAGGCCCTCATGAAAATATGTTGAACATTGTTAGCTACTAGGAAATTGCAAATTAATACCACGATATCACTACACACCTATCAGAATGGCTAAAGTAAAGCATAGTGACAACACAGATGAGGATGTTGAGAAACTGGATCATTCATATATTTTTGGTGGGAACGTACAATGGCACAGCCACTATGGAAGTTTAGCAGTTTCTTTAAAAACTTTACATGCAACCACCTTACAACCCAGAAATAATCTGAGAAACGACCATTTATATTCTTATGAAAACCTGTACATAAATGTTTATAGCAACTTTTTTCATAACAACCAAGAACTGAAAATGACTCAGTGTCCTCCAGTGGGCAAATGGTTAAGCAAACTGTGATACATTCACACCTATGGAGTACTACTCGACGACAAAAAAGGAATAAACTGTCAATCCATGCAACAACCTGGATGATTCTCCAGAGAATTATGCTGATGAAAAAACTCTATCCTAAAAGGTTACATACTCTATGATTCCATTGATATAACATCTTTGAAATGAGAAAATTGCAGAAATGAAAAACAGATTAGTGGTTGCCAAGGGTTAAGGAGGGATAGGAGTGGAAGGGAAGTGGGTACAGCTATAAAAGGGCAACATGAGGGATCCTTGCAGAGACGGAGGCATTCTGAACCTTGGTTGTGATACTGTATTATAGTTTTGAGTTACAAAAATGTAATTCCATCATTCCTTCTGTATTTATTACATCATTCTTCTGTTTAAGAATAAAAAACTTCCCTTTTTCTTCCCATGCTCTCTTTTATTTTTTTCTTTTTTGAAAATCACCAACGGTTCATGGATTTTTCTTATTCAGAATTGTAATGATATTTTTAATGTTCAAATCATCCTGAAACTGGCCAGTAAGAGCCTCTGCAATCTGGCATCTGTACCTTTTGACATAACTCCAACAGTCTTTGAGGGCTTTACGTCCTAACAAATATTCTCGAAAATCTTTTAGATTGTTTATACTTGTTCACTAATCAGTAGGTTTTCTTCTTCTGAGTTCAGGGCAACCATGGCTACTGGAAAGGGATAAGGAGGGTGGGGGGACTTCCTAGGAAGGAGAAAGTGAGAGAGAAGGAACCCCAAAATCTGTGTAAAGACTCTGCCAAAAATTTTGCTGACCCCTAAACAACACATGTACCGGGCAGAGAGCAAACAGCCCAGCTAAGGATAAAAGAACTGAAGTTTATGCTGCCAACTAAGACACAGAATTTGTGGTTTGAGTCTCATTTTAAAACATTTCAGAAAACATAATAAAACATGCTTAATCTTTTAGGTTCTGTCACTACCCTTCCAGAAAATAGATTTTTCAAAAAATTACATTGTTTA